CACACACACACACACACACACACACACACACACACACACACAAGCGCCAACCTGTTGGGGTGCCGGAGAGAGTGCGAGCGCGGACGGCGTCAGAGGCCCGGGCCCTGACCGCGGACGGTGCGGGCAGCCACACGGAAGGCGTAGGTGGTGTACGGGTCGAGGCCAGTGAACGTGTGCTGGTTGTCCTCCGTGATGACGGGATGGCGGCCAACGCAGACGGCGTCCTGGCACGAGTCAAACACCGTCGCATCGTCGCCTGCAAAGGGTGCGTTGTTCGAAGGGGAGTGGCACGTTTGTGTGTTTGTTGGTGAGGAACGAGGAGACGTGCAATGGTGACTCGATGCACACAAAAGCATAGATACGCACACACACACACACATACACACACACACGCACACAAGCATTCAAGCTCACCATCGTCGCAGTCGGTGCCATCTGGCGCATCGTCATAGACGCACTCGCCACTGACACAGCGACCGGGCTGCTTGCACTGATCCATTGGTGGATCACATGTCTGCAATGTTTGGACCATGATGATGCGCATGAGGATGAGATTGACACGAAGGGATTCGTGATACTAAGTGTTTTGGCAGTTTACCAACCCAACACACACATGCAAGGCAAGCATCATAAGCATGCTGGGCTCTTCGCTGTACGAACCACATCGGAGCACGGATCGGCTGCAACGTCCACGCGGTAGAAGACCTCGACGTCATCCACTTGCCAGCTGTTGTAGGAGCCAGTCAACCACTCGTTGTTGTACGTGCTGCTGCTCTGGTGCACACTGCGCTCAGCAATAGCACGGATACACGCAACAGCATGGATGGCGATGAGTATGAGGAAATGACAACATTGGTTGCAGTTTCATTGAACACAGAGGAATTCGAGTCCAAAGCACACATGCATGGGTTTGACTCACGTGTAGGCACTCGTGCTGGTGTATCCAGACCGACAGTCGGTTGACATGCGGAAATCAGAGTTGCCTACATGTGCGTCAATGTGTGTGAGTGAGTGTGTGTGTGTGTGTGTGTGAGAGAGAGAGTGTGTGTGTGTGAGTGTGTGTGAGTGTGTGTGTGTGAGTGTATGTGCGCGCTCGCACAAGTCAGCGACGAACTCCAGACCAAATCAACAGCGTACACCAACACGCACTCACGCACGCACAGGCAAACACCTCACCGAATTCTGGGCAGTAGTTTGGGCGTGTGTACTGCGCGTACTGCGGGTAGTTGAGCAGCTCTGTGCGCTCAAACTGGCCGTTGTTGACAAAGCGGAAGAGGAAGGCGTCGTCGGCACGCAGATACGTGGACGTGTCAGAGCGCCAGCTGTTGGGAGCAAAGGCGCCAAACACACGTGGACCCTGTGGGCTGCCCTCTGTCGAGCGGACAACGACGACCGTCTGGCCCTTGTTGTCGCAGCGTGAGTGGAAGGTGGAGCCGGAGAAGCCGTGGTCGGATGCGCGGAAGCAAAGCTTGAAACTCGTGTCACTGTTGGGCGACACCTCCTTGGAGATGGCCAGGTTCATGTCCTTGGTCAGGATCTCAGAGCCCATGATGGCCTGCGTTGGTCTCCGCTGGAACACAGAGCGGTCGCCGTACACATTCTCATCCACAACTGCAGTCGCGTGCGTGCATGCGTGTGTGTGTATGCGTGGGTGGTGAGATTGATAAGAGGAGCAAACCCACACAAACGCAAGCGCACACCAACACAAACATTCACGCACACAAAACTTAACGCCTCCCACCTAAGCTCACACACGCGTGCTCACACCTTGGTAGCATTGCACTGGATCGTTGGAGTAGCTCAGGCAGATGTTCTGTCCATCAAACCCGAGCTTGCGCGTGTCCTGGTTGTGGTAGATGTAGCGGGACTGGTACTGGAAGTTGCTTAGGTCATACCTGTCGTGATTGTTGGTGTTGGTGGTGTTGGTGGTGGTGGTGGTGATTGTGTGTGTATGTGGGCAATAGATGAACACACGACAATAACTTGCAGAGCCAAACATCACATGACTGCATACACATGCGCACGATGCAAAACATCACACATGACGCACTGGTAGATGTATCTGTCGTTGTAGTCACCAGCGAAGATGCGGCCGTTAACGACAGCGAAAGTCCCATAAATGTTGGAGAAGCCCGGCGAGCTTTGCAGGCTGTGGAGAGAGGGAAGGGGGTTGTATGCACACGTGATACACGTGAGTGGTGGTGATGAGTTTGATGGTGTTGTGAGATTAAGAAAGCTACATGAGCAGAGTGACAGCAAGACACGCACGCATGCGAGCACCACACACACGCGCGCGCACGCACACACACATGTGCAACGACTCACTTGACAGACTGGAGGTATTGGCCGCTGTCGCGATCGAGGATGCGCAGGTTGGTGCTGCCACTGCGAATGACGTACACCTTGTCACGGTACACAGACACACCGCCAACCGTACTGCCCACGTTGTATGACCAGATGGTCTGATGGTGGTGGTGGTGGTGGTGAGCAAGGAGGATGCGATGTGAGTACGCACGTGACCTGGCAGCTTCTTCAAACACGCACACACACACACACACACACGCACGCACACACACACACACACACACACACACACACACACACACACACACAAGCGCAAGCACATCATCGTAGTACCGTGACGAGCGGGAATGGACCCATGCGATGGACGTAGTTGTCGCCATACGTATCAATCAGATACGTGTCATCCACATCAGGCCAGATTTGCATGATCTGCAAAGATGTGAAGGTAATTGTCGTGTGAAGGGGAGCGTGTGTCGAAGGGCTCTTGCATTGCATAGAGCATGCATCATTCATGCACAAGCAAGCAGCAGCCCCCACCACCTCTGCTGTCACACCCACACCACCATCGCCACCACCCTAAACTCACGTAGCGGCGCTGCTGGATGCGGAATCGGCCGAGATACGTGGACACGTCCGTGGCGTCATACCTGCAAGCATCAGTGTTCAGGTGTTGGTGGTTGGTGGTGACATGCATGAGATTGGAACATCTAACAACAGAAATGTACGAGGTAAGAACAAGCGCGCGCACCAACATATCGACACACATACACACACTTCCAAGCGCGCGCGCACACACACACACACACACACACACACACACCTGTACACGATGGTGCCATCGGAGGAAGACGTGTACTCCGGGAACCACCACTCGTGGCGGCGCGGGCTGTAGCCCATGCCGTAGCTGCGCGATGGCCACGAGGTGGAGAGAACGCTCGGGAAGGAGTTGAGGTTGTTGGGCGCGGGTACGCCGCGGCACTCACCGGCCACGCACGTGTCAAATTGGGTGCTGTCGGGGTGTGAAGAGTGGCGGAGCGTGGCGAGTTGGTGATACGTCGTGAGACATTGCGTGAAATGATAAAAGCGGTGTGCGGACACACACACACACACACAATCACATACACACAAACCCACACAAACGCGCTGCATCAAACCACCAACACGCAAAGCCATCGTTCATGTGTTGAGATGAGCGACTCACTTTTCATCATCATCGCCGCACGGCGTGCCGTCTGGTTTCGGGGTCTGCTGGCACATTGGACCACGCTGAAAACCCACAAAAAGCAAATACACGAGGAGAGTGAAGCGTGTTAGCGAGCTTGGATGTGTGTGTGTGTGTGTGTGCGGATAAACTCAAGCCAGCTCAGCAACTACAAGCACTGATTTAGCATTCAGGTCGCTGTACACACTCACGTATGGGTCGAGAACACATGTTGCTTCTTCGTAGCACGCGCTGGCGCGAACACAGGTGATGTCGTCACACGAATCAGGCAGATACTCTGCAAGCGTGTGCACGTGTGAATGTGTGTGTGTGTGTGTGTACATGCATGCTTGTGTGAGTTACGAGTGGAAAGGCCATCACCAGCAAGACCCACTCTCATCGCAGCATTCATTTGCATGCATGCATGCAACTGCGCACCTGGCGTGTAGTAGATGCTGTACTCAACGACGTCGCCCTCATCCGACGGCGGAAGCTCGTACGTGAGCTGTTCGTGATAGTGACAGCGATTGTTGTTGTAGTTGTGGTGAGTCGGTGAATGGAGAAAATGAGTGGGCAAGTGACGGAATGATGTTGTTGCAAACGGACAGTCACACTAACAAAAAAATACGCACTCTCCTAAGATCCAATACACACGCGCGCACACAGGCACACACACACACACACACACCTTGATGGCTGTCTTGTTGAGCGCGTTGGCGTCGACGTTGTCGGGCGGTGTGCGAGGAATGCCCTGACCGGTGGTGGGGGTGATGGGGTTGCTTCGCTCGCCCTCGCCAGCTGACGTCCACGCCGTCACTTGCACGACATAGGTGGAGATGGGGTCCAGGCCATCAATCTCAACGGACCGCACACTGCCACTGGACGTGGTCATGGACTGCCACGTGCCACCGAGCCTGGCACAAGCGCGCGTTGTTGGAATGGTGGAGGCGAGAAGGATTTAGCTTGATGAGAGAGGAGCCATGCGTGAGCAGTGCGAAGAGTAATTAAACAAGCGCCCACTCTTCACACACACACACACACACGCACACACACACACACACCATTCTCATCACCACCAGGAATCACTCACTTCTTGTAGTAGATGGTGTACTTGGTGACGATGCCGTTTGGCTCGTATGGTGGCTGCCAGCTGATGGTGATCACCTCGCCGTTGTCAGACAGCTCTTCGTCAGCCTGCACGTTGGACGGTGGGCCAGGTGGTGCCTCCTGTGTTCGCACAGTGATGTTCTGGGATGGCGGTGAGGCACCGGCACCGTTGAACGTGGTCAGGTAGAAGGTGTACTCCGTGTAGGGCTTCAGCCCCGTGACGGTGAAGGTGTAGTAGTTGAGGCTCGTCACAAACGCGGCCGGGCCACCAGCAGAGGCAATGTAAACCTGAAGGGAGAGGTGGGAGACAGCAGGGAATGTGAGCAGGTGAACGCGGCCAAAGATGAAAGCTGGTTCAGTTTAACGCCACAACGAATGGGAACACAAGACAGCAAAGCACGTACAGGCACACACACACACACACCTCGTAGCCAAGAAGGCGGCCGTTGTGCGTCGGGTTGGCTGGTGCGTTCCATGTGAGCTTGATCTTCGAATCAGACAGCGCTGTGCCGGCGACGTCCACAGGGCCAGATGATGGCGGCGCCTCGAGTGTGGTGCCGTGAACGGCATCGCTGAGCGGACCGCCGCCAATGCTGGTGTACGCCTGCACCTGCACAGCGTATGTGCGTCCGGGGTGGAGGTCGTCGAGGGTGTAGGAGGACGTGTTGGAGTAGCGCGAAGCACCCACGCACTGGCCGGCAACACACGTGTCAAACGCCGTCGTGGCGTCGCCATCGTCGCACGGGGTTCCGTCAGCAATGGTGGTGGACATGCACACACCGAGCTGGCACACGTTGGCGGGGGTACACGGGTTGGTTTGGCACACAATACCATCGCACGGGTCATACGCGTCCTCCGTGAGATAGAACACCTCCATCTCATCGACATAGATGCTGTTGGTGCCGGTGGCCCAGTAGTCATTGTAGCCGCCAGACGCAATGCGGTACGAATGCGAGTTCGTCGTCACGCGCTGGCAGTTGGAGTAGAAACGAAGGTCGTGGCCACCACCTGGTTGGTTTGTGTGTGAGTGTGTGTGTGTGTGCGTGTGTGTATCCGTGTGTGTGTGTGTGTGTGTGTGTGTGTGTGTGTGTGTGTGTGTGTGTGTGTGGTGAGCCAAGGGGAAGTTGAGCAATGTTCTTCACGCCAAACGACCTGCATGCCACGACCTCCACATGCCATCTCTCCTCATACGCGCCACAACTCGCTGATCACGCCCTTGGTAGGCCTCACCAAATGTCGGGCAGTAGGAGCTCGTGTGGTAC